TATAAATTATTTGTTTATATTACATAAAAAGATTTTTTATTCAAGTTTTAATAAAGAAATTTTATTATAAAAACTATTTGAATAAATAATGTTAATTTATTTTGTTAATATAATTGAATTGCAAATAATTTTTATCGTGACAAATACAAATCAGTATTGTTTATTCAATACAGTTTTTAATAAAATTATATATAAAATATCATATTAAAATATTATTTAAACAAAAAATCATATTAACAATTTATTTCAAATTAATTTCAACACCAATATAGCCTTTTATTTTATTTTTTTTTAATATAAACAGTATTTTAAATATTGTTAGATGAAAGTAAATTATTATCATTTGATTCATGGTATTCTTAAATATTATCTCTTTAAGATTATATGTTCCAAATTTTTTTAAAAAAAAATAAAAAATAAAAAGAAAAATACACGAAACATAAAATGGTTTGTTTAGTTTGTGTTTGAAATTAGGGTTTTGATTTTAGTTTAGTTCAAATAGTATTTTAACGGGATAATTTATAAAAAAAATAAAAAATGCGAAAGGATGTTAAAATATATTTGAAACTATATTGTACATTATCAAATTAATTTTTTTTATTATAAATATAAATTATAACTTTTTCATTTAAATTTTTTTTTAATCTTTTCCATTAACAATAATATAATTTAGATGTTCAAGTTTGTGCCTCTTTTTACAGATTTTGTTTGGACATACATTGTCAACGTTGAAAAACATTTAAAATAAAATAAAACAATAAAAAAAATGTAAATTATTTATAATTTTCTATTTCGGCAGCCATTAGACTACGAAAAGGTTAACATATGGAATGGGCATTGATTTATTTCCTCATATATTCGCCTAGTTAATTTGTACATGGATTTTAAATTATTTAAAGTATTTTAGAAATTTATTCGTTACCATAATCAAGCAAACATAAATGGATATACTTTACCATCAAGGAATTAAGAGCATAAATATTTAAATTACTTATGGTAACAATATTCAATTTTCATCACCTTACGTAAATTAAATTTTATTAATGTGAATAATGTGAATATATATATATATACAATCAAATATTATCATTATAATATAGCATTCTATTAATATTATCATTAAATATTTTGTATAAATGCAAAATCACCAAAAACATTTCAATTCATTACATTCATACGGTTCAAATCACCCATATATATATATATATATATATACACACAAATTCATCAAAAGCATTGCAATAAAACTTTGTACGATGAAGAAGGGACAAGTTCATGGGATTATATCAATTTTCACTATTTTGATGATTGTCGTTGTGTCTAATTGTTCTAAAGAAACCATTAATCGTGTCGCCCGCGATCCCTTTTGCATCATACGGTGCGAGAGGAGCTGTGATCCCGACGTAAGCCGGGCACAATGCGCGGCTAACTGCGCTTACGAGTGTTGCGCTCCAAATTGTGCCACCAAGGATGCGATATTATTGAATGTGCGTCTGTTTCTTACTTCTTGGAAGAACATAACATAAATTTTGTAACAATTTGTATGTGTTAAGGATGTTCTTGTGGTAATGACTCGACATGGTTTTTGTTTTTTGTGTTTGCAGAATCTGATCAGTGGTTGAGCTTTGCGGATCGATGGTCTAGCGAAGATATGAAATTATCGGGACATGAATATGGTTTTATCGAATTTTTGTAATCAAGTATTGTCTCTGAATAATTTTCTATTTGAATAAAATTCTGAAAGAAAATTTTCTATGTGTTTTTCGGAGTTGTTTTTTACAGGATATATATTTACTATTTATATAAAAAAATCCTCTAAAAATATTAAATAAAATAAATTTTTTTATTTTTTTATATTAAACTAAACTAAATTTTATATTCAAAATATTATATATATATCACAATTATTCAAATTTAAAATTTTATAACTAGTTTATCATTTCGTCTAATATGCATTAACTAGTTTAATTGACGTTAATGTATTTGTTGATGGATTTCATATTTTAAAATGGATATCTTTATTGAATAGAATTAATTCAATTTAAAACAAAATTAAAATCAAAATTTCAAAATCAAATAAACTCACTAATTTTTAATAAATAAAAAAAAAGTAAAGTGCATTCTTTTTCAATTTTTTATATTTAAATTTTTATTTAAATAATATTTATATATGAAATAAAATAATATATTCTTATTATAAAACGCTAAGATTGAATAGTTGAGAAAATTAAAATAATAAAATATAAAGATGACAACAACCAATTTACATTGAAATGAGATCAATAAGCTTTACACATTAAATTTTATTGTGAAAACAATATTAGATCGATAATATTTATTTTAATTTATTCAATGAGAATGTCATGCAAATTTTATTTATTTTTACAATCACCAATGGTGATGCAAAATGAAGAATTATTTCACACATGAGAATTTATTTATTACATGGCAAGTTCAGTGCAAGTTGGCGTTTTAAGACAAATTCTCGAATCTTTTCAATTTGAAATCATCTGCAAAATATCAATAAAATCTTTGTTTTGTTAATTAAAATGCCACATGAATATCTCGAAAACAAATTATTGATGATACAATAATATAAACAAAAGAGAAGGTTAATTATTAAATAATTTCCCACCTTATTTTCTTGTTTTTCAACTTTTTTTTTTCAATTGGCTACCAATAGAAAATATTGTACTATATATCTTTTTCTCTCTCTCTATATATATATATATATATATGTAATTATCATTTGTGTCTTGTAAATTATAAATTCATGCAATATAACTATTATGGGGTAAAAAAAAAAGATCATAACTCATAGATGCACAATAAAATAAAAATATCAACATCCAATTTCTTCGGGATTAATCATTGTGATTATTACTTTTTTTTCAAAATAAAATTTTCGATGTGTTGAATGGATACTATATTAAGTGGGATGTCGAGGAAATTGCGTACCTGTGGAGGGTTGAAGAACTATGTTGTTGTGGTCGAGTCAGGCAATGCATGAGACACTTGGCCACGCAAAAAGATTTCCTTGAAAAAATGCACTTGAAATTGCATTCAATCGAACACTGAGCTATCGATTTACATTCACAACAATCCATTCTTGCAAGAAGAATGATCAAAGCCATGGTTGCTACACAAAGGGTTTTCATCGGAATTTTTTCCATTTTTTTCTTCTCTCGCTCTCTATATATACGCGAATATATATATTGAGACAAGAGGTTTATTTATACGAAAAGGGGATATGATTTATTATTGAGTGTTGTGATATATCTTAGTGATTAAGAATTAAATTTATCATCGCATTAAAATTATCTAATAAAGGAAAATTAGGGCAATAAAATTTTCATCTACTACTCTTTTTATGTATTTTTTTTTTTTCTTATGAAATGTTCAACAAGAGAATAAATAAAGAATAGCAAAATATGTGTAGCTGAAAAAAAAAAATGGAAAACTCGCATAAATGCTAAAAATTATATGAACAATATTGGTGGAAATTACAATTAATAACTAATGAAAAAATATATATTTATTGAATTGGTTAATATCTTATTATTGAAAATATAATTTGTGTAGATTAAATGTATATCTTTCGCAACCAAATAATGATAATTAATAAATATAATGAGTTAGAAAAAGAATTAATTAATAAAAGTATCAATTAATTAGCTAGACTTGAAGTTTAATTAAATATTGGGTTAATTAGATAAAATTATCTTGCATTAATTTAAAATAAAAAATATATATATACGATAATTCATATATATATTTTTTAAAACTTTAGATTGTTTGATTTGCATTCCAAATAAATTTTTACCATTCGATTTATATGATCTTTAATAAAAATATAAAATATACTTTTATAAATAATATTATATTAAAATATTATTAAAATAAAATTTTAAATAAATAACCTCACACTCAAACACACACACACAAAAAACCTTTAGTTATGTGTAATCAATACTGACATTTTGTCTACATTTAAAACCATATCATACAAATTACACTTTTAATCCAAAATTTCATTGGTTTTATATTATTAACCCAAAAATATACTAAGTTTGTTTGGGGGATTTAATTGGATTTACACTATTCATTCAATTTTCCCCCAAAAAATATAAAATCAAATACCTATTTTTTATTTTTATATTATAATAAAAATCAATTTTACATTCATAACGCTCACATCAACACCTATTTATATCACATCATATAACTATTCACATTCAAAATTTTTACTATTCAAATCTCAACTCAAAATCCAAACCCCCAAACAAACACACCCTAAATCGAAAAAAATATGTGTATATTAGAAATATATATATATATAATACAACGTGAGAAATAAATAACAACAATATAAATAAAATAAATATATTTATATACCTTTAAGATTTATTAATTTTTATAAACTAATTTATGCTTCTAGTGTATAATTATTTATTTATTTATTTTCGAAATATATTTTAAGTTTTGTTTTGTGGGATTTAAAATGTGCTTATAAATTTATACATAAGTTTTTACATTGATATTTAATACTATATTTTATTATTATTGAATTATAATTTTAAAAATACTCACATAGGTCTTAAATTTATTTCTATTATATATATATATATTACAATTGATTTTTATTCAAATACTAATAAAATACAATCTTTAAATAGCAAAATTAAGATTTCAATTAATAAAACTAAATCCTTCATTTACTTGACAATTATACTTATTCTTTTATTATTCAGTGTTTATAATTTACTAAAAATATATATATACATTATTTTTCATAAAAAAATATTACATCCAAATCCAATGTTTTTTAAAAAACAAAAAGTTAAAAAAAAAAAAAAAAAAAAAAAAAAAAAAAAAAACAAACAAACCACACGGATCCGATGCAGGCCGCCTGACCCGACCCGACGGACCCGCCCAGAGCCGTCGGAATTTCAACCGCTGTTCTTGCAGTCGAAATTCACTAATTTCAGTTCTCATTTCAATCCCCATTACCCTCCCTCCTCCCGCCCAAATACTTAGCAGCAAAGATTCCAGCAAACGTTTGTTTGTTTGTAATTGTTAAACTTGTTCTGCTACCAAATGTCCAGAAGGCGCCTCAGGGTGGTTTCATCTTCTTCCGACGAAGAAGACGAAGAGCAACTGGAACCGGAACTGCAAGACCTACAATCTCCTCCCCCTCCTCCTCCTCCACAGGAGCATCTAGAAGGACACGTAGACGACAATGTCGAAGCCCATTTCCAAACGGTCACATTGAATTCCCCCAACCCTACACCAAACACGCGCAATCCTGCTAATTCGTCGGGAAATGGGAACGGACGCGATGGGGAAGAAGTGATTATCCTCGACAGCGAGTCCACTGGTAATTCCAATTTTGGTAGCAGTGGTTATTTCGAGGTGTCTGATTCTCCGGTGAGTGGAATTTTGGAAGGATTAGGGCTCAGACTGAGAAGGCCATGGCTCGAATCGTGTTTGCGTGGGCTTGAATCGTCGATGCCTGGCTTTCAAGGAATGGACGATTCAGTAAAGGCGAAAGTTTGCTTTGGGCAATTCTTGTGCTCCGATATGAATTTTTGCGGCGCTGGTGTGCTTCCTCCCAATGTCCATTCCTTGCATTTGCATGATCTCAAAGGCCCTTTTGTTTTGCAGGTATATAACATATACATATATATATGTATGTACTATGGTATATTGCATTGCTGTGACATAGGGTGTTTAGACACTTTGTTTTATTTTATTTATGTTTTGGAGTCGAAATTCTTTTAATGCAAACTGTGTTTGAAAAATGACATTTTGTTTGATTCTGTTTTGAAGCTAAGCTAATTATCAGTTTGTATTACAAGATGGGAGATTGATTTGGATGTTGCAAATACAAATGCATAAATTAGTCGATTTGGCAGTTGTTTCAAGAGTGTTTTCGGAAATAGTGGTAAATAATTTTTGCGTTGGAGTCGGACAAGCCAAAGTGGGGTTCAATTTGTAAGCAAGCACACTCTTGAATTCTCTATGAAGAATTTGTATTGAAGCATGAAGTAGAAATCACGAATGGAAAGTATTGTTTGTTGCAAATATGACAATTTGATGGCATTCTGAAAAATGGAATGTTTTTTAGGTCTTGTAGTATTTGTTCATTAGGTTGACATATTGATGTTCACTTTAATCTATTGTGAAATTCGGAACATGTTTAGATTTTAGAAAAAGGCTGTAGATATATGATTTTAGTGAAATCATTGGCTTGTTAAATTTCACAGATTAAAGGCTTCTTCTAGAGGTTGCATTTTTTTGTGCTGTGGTTTACATTAGATATTTTGATTTCTAAAAGTGCATGTTAGAGCCGATTGGATGTTTTTTTCTGACGATGTATAGGTGGACGAGATAGTGAATATCAGCAGCCCTCTTCGCGGAAGGTACCAAAAAGCTGCATCAGGAGTCAAGAGGTGCCTCAAGTTGTCCATGACTGACGGTGTCCAGCGTGTGTTTGGAATGGAGTATAGGCCGATCAAAGATCTCGAAGCCCTGGCCCCTGCAGGAATGAAGGTCTCCGATCTACTTTTCTTTGAGTTTAGTCTGCCGATGTTTTTATCCTAATCAATTCAATTCATACAGGTGGCTATTTGTAATGTAAATGTTAGGCGGGGTCTGTTGATGTTGGTCCCTGAAGTTCTTCAAGTTTTGGGAGGGTCTGTCGAAGAGTTAGAAGCTGCACGACAAAGGCTCGTTAATGAAGTAAATAAGCCACCACGTGGGAAAAGGTATCTTAGAATTATTGCAATGCAACTACCTTGATGATCTGACTGATTTTGTAGGAATCAAATTTATTTCGATGGCTTTAGGTCGATGGAGAGTAGTCATTTCTTTTCTTATGCTAGTTCCAATAAATTCCATGTTTTTGCAACTGAAATACCTAGGATAGATGTATCGATTCAAAGTAACAACCAAGCAATGATAGTTACCAAATGATCCTTTTCGGCTCATTTCAGGGATAGGACAGGAGTGGCTCCTCCTCTCGCAATGAGGGCAACTCTTGCTGCGTGGACACCGCATAGTGATTCTGATCCGCAGCATGTATCTCAATCGACCCGTACAAACACAAGACCCTTACAATCTAGCTATCAAGGTTTGCGATTGATTTATATCGGGTAGTAACACATATATTATGATTGTTCTCTTTATCCATGCATATTTTCTAAAAACCAAAGTTATTTGTATTTCAATCGATGCAGGAACGACAATTAGTACTCCAGCCAATGAAATGCCCCAACAAGCCTTTGCAACTGAAAATAGGGAAAATCCTGAACCTAGACCATCAGCCGCACCTTGGTTAAACGAACGTGATGAAGTCCCGACACATAGTGATCCCACAGGTTTGCATTTGAGAATTGGATATAAATTGCAATATGATTACATTTTAAATGTTGGTACGGTTCGTGTTCTACAGGAACTGTATTTGGCAGCAATAATGCAACTTCTAGAAGGTATACCGAGCCTCGAGCATCATCTGCAGTGGATCCTGTCGCCATTCCTAGGCCTGTTGATGAACCAATGACAGATGTCGCATCGTCTTCTATGGAGACGGGGGTGGATACTACTCACGTTTCTAGAAATTCCGTACCTATTGAAGATCTTACGAGCCCAGGTCGCAGGGATGATGCTATGATGATCACATCATCTCCCACGGACAGGGATGCCAAGGAAATACTTATGGTGGATGAACTAGAACATCATTTTATACTTTCCAGAGATAACGAAGTCCCTTTTACTTACCTGGCTAGTTTGTCGGCAAAACTTGTGGCAGTTGAGGATGAAGATACCGTCATTAGAGGTAAAATAAAGGTATGTCCTGAGACATTTCATTATCGAAACATTATTTTCAATACCTGAAACTGAATTTTGCGACTGAGCTATTCTGCAGTGCATTCTGACTGGGGTTAAGGGATTTCAATACAAGCATACGAATACATTCAAGCTTCACGTTTACGTCGATGATGGAAGCCTCATTTCCAAAATCCTCATCGATCACAATGTGCGTGCGCAGGCGAATTCATAGCTGATTAAATCCTCGCAACCTTTACTGATGTTTGGTTTGTTTTTCAACCAGGTTGTGCAGAAAGGAATCGGCTATTTGCCTGAGGAGGTAACAGAAGCGCTTGCATCTTCAGACAGCGCACGATCCGCAGCCATGAAGGAGACGATGAAGCAATTCCAGACGTTCTTGATGAATTTTGAGGTAAGCCGCATTTTGTGTGTAATTAACTTTGAAAAAAGATCGATAGGTCTGAGGTGGCTCGATTCTAACCGGACCTGGTTTTAACGGCAGGGTACCCTGGTGGTGGAAATGAGTAAAGCCTCCCCTGTTGCGGTTGCTGTTGAAATGAATGAAGGTTGTTCTTCATCTGATGCCTCCGCCTCGGCCTGGCTGCTACTTGAGAGGCTGCTCGAATCCTCGGGTTCTGCTCCACGGCAGCCATTGTCCCGATCAGACCCCATTGTCATATCCCCTTAGGTCTACAACATGAGCCTTAGGCTAAGTTTTCTTGCCTATGAGGTAACAAATTGATCGATATAAGTCTATTAAGGTCCTGTTGGACATATTTGGATTTAAAATTGGATTTTAATGAAATACTTGGAAATTGTTTGAAATGAAACACTTGACAGAAACGGAATCAAGTAAAATGAATGGATCATATTTAAATTTCTCTATAGATATTTGAATTATTATTATTATTATTATTATTATTATTTTTTAAATTTTTTATAACCTAGGAATAAGCTGTCCGGCCGAACCTAATACCCTGCAAACTAGGCGGACATGCAAGTCACGCTGTGTAAATATTTAAATTATTGTTTGGATGAGTTGGTGCGGTAATGCAGTATTGAATAAGTCTAAGAAGAAGGCAAACTAATCGAAGGTTCATCAAACTAAGAGTTAGTTTCTTTTGTAAGAGTTTTTCTACATATTTTTATATAATTACGAAAAAGAAATTTTGTCAAAACACAAAACAAATACCATCTAGAATCCAAATAAATTGTAAATAAACAACTAAATACATTATCCGAAAAATATTATGGTATGCTTTTCGGAGAATTTTAGAAAATTTCTATTATTCTTTCACTTTTTTCTTCATTGTACAAGTACAACTGTTGGTTTATTTATGTATATATATATTGAAAATGTAAAAAACAAAATGTCGATATTAAAAACAAAACATTCAATCGAACAAAATTAAATAAAATCAATCAAATATATGTTAATTAAAGAAATCCTAAATAATTAATAATTCAACATTTCTTCATGTTCTCACGCAATTTTTGGTCAAGAAACTTAAAGGTAATAACAACCCTAATAAGGCAATGCTTGGAAATAACTTATACAAAGATTTCACATTATAATTGTTGCAATAAATTTTAACCAATCAATTTTGGTCGTGTCTTCGTGCAATAAAGATATCCTAAAACTTTTCGCTTTCGGATTAAATTTTTGAGTTGAAAGTTGAGTCAAATATGATTTATTTAAATAATATTTTATTTATGATGTAATATATATAATTTTAAAAATTTAAAATGTATATTTACTTATTTTAACAACTGAATTTTAATAAGTATATACAATATAAATATTATTTTATAAAAAATAAAATTTTATATATTACAAATAATTAAAATGAATTAATTTTATAAATAAATAGAAAGTTTGTTTATGAAGGAGAAAGATAGAAATATAAAAGGCTTAACTATATCGAAACAAATTATTTTTTCTCAAAATTATATATATCCCTTACCGTCACATAACTGCTATAAGTAAATTAATTACTTAACATTGATAAGACTTTTCGTAAATATAATCACAATTTCCTTCTTTATAGATAACATGAAATTGATACATTAAAAATATTATACTCCCTCCGTCTCAAACACCATGCACCATTTCATTTTTTATATGTCCAAACATCCTACAATATTTCCAAAATAGGAAATAATTAATTATACATAATCTTTACCTCACACTTTATCCCACATCATTCAAATTTAAAATATATATATATTTCTCTTTCAATCGCATCACCTAATTTCTAAATTATTATACTTAATACTACCCACTTAAAAATTCGTGCAAAAAATAAATGTTGCACCTTATTTGGGACAGATAGAGTATTAATAACACAAATTACAATAACAATGCATATTGAATTTAAATACATATTGGGTGTTATTTTTTTTATATAAAATAAAATTTATATTATTCTTTAAATAATAAATTCTGATCTAGTACGCAATAAAATTACAAGCCAAAGCAATTTTCTTTTCGTTAAAAGTGTTGAAAGGTAGTTAAAACTACCTCTTTTCATTTTTAGTAATTTTATCAATATTAAACATACTTAACAAATATAAATCAATTTAATTAAACTTCTAAACTTCTTTATTTCTATATCTCTCCACAATTAACATAATTTTTTATCTATATTTAAAACTTCTCATTTTTTATAAAACTAATTTACGGTATTATAAGTATTATATAAAATTTTATTATCTATACAAAATGATATTCATATTGCATATATTTTTTCGAGATATAATCTTAAAAAATTTTAAAATACCAATAATATTATTCATATAAAAAATAATAAACTAATATCATAACTTATTATTAATAAATTATTAATCTATACTACCTAAAAACTGTCTCTAATAAAATGGTCCATCCTTCACGGGAGGGAGGGAGTATTTGTTTAGCATTTAATATTTATAATTTTAGATATTTTTGCTGCATCTATTATCATATTTATGTCCATTTGATCATATATGAATTTTAAGAGAAGCGGGTAAATATAAAAAAAAAAAAAATTATAGTAAAAAAAATAAAAATATATAGAACTACATTTTTACTAGAAAATAAAACAGAATTATTATTATTTTTTTTATATAGAGAATAAGATGTTGCGTGTTTTTGTTGACATGGATATTATACTATAGGGCTTGTTTTTTTGGAATAAAATTCAGATTTTTATTATTTGTACTATGTATTTTTTAAAATAAATAAATAAAAAATTCTTATTAAATATCTTATTGTATATTATTTTAATATTTAACTAAAACTAAATTTTTTCTAAATCTATCAAAAGAAATATACATTTGGAGTTTGAAATTATGATTTCACAGTCACAAATCTACCCACCACACCAACAAATCATCTGTTACGAGACTCATTTTTTTTGTTTTCCTTTTGGGTGGGAGAGTGGGGTTATAAAAAATTATATATTTATGTTTAGAAACTCTATTAGAAAAATAGTGTGGAAGTGGTTGGCTTATGACTCTCAAAGTAAAATTCGGAAAAAATAAAAATAAAAAATAATAATAATAATAATAATAATAATAATAATAATAATGATGATGTGTAGTGGCAATTGTAATATAATTTTTTTGTAAAAAATATAAAGTTACGGAATTATTGCAATTTTAATTGATATAAAGTCACGGAAATGTAATGATATTATTATGTAACTTATTGTCATGAAAATGTCATCATTTTAAAAAGATTTACGAAATTTTGTTGCAATTTCTGTCGCTATATAAAATCATATATGTAACTAATTATTGTCACATAAATGCACTGATTTAAATTTAAAAAAAAAAAAATCACAAGTGGAATTCCACGGAAATAGTTCTGTATATTTTTTTGTGACTTTTCAGTAAAAAGTCACAAATTTATATTAAAACCGTGATTTTTTCTACCGTAATTTTAGTCTAATTTTCTAGTAATGAAATCATACTACTTTTTGTATTTTTCTTTTTTTTTTATAAATGTAACAAATTTACATACATGTATTAAAATATGTGTTTAAAAGTTTGAATATATATATATATATTTATGTACTTAATTAATATTACTATATTTTTGGAAAATCGTATAGGAATAAAATACTAAATAAACACGTTAATATTACGATATTACATTAATTTATTATTTTATGATGGAAATATGTTGAATATATTAACATTGTCATATATAATATATGCAATATTCCATGTTATAAACTGTTCAATCTTTTCCCTTCAACGATACTACATGAATATTTATACATATTGTAATAAGAGGAGCATAGAACAAATTAAATTAAATTACCCTAAGATGGAGAACAAAAAATTGCTAGTTGTGATAATGTCGATGATTATTGTATTGTCTTTCTTGCTTATAAATTGTGGGGCAGAAACTAGAATTAATCCAGCTGCCCACCTCGGGCCGGGCTGCTTCCAGTCGTGCTTCGACAGTTGTAAGAGGCGCGGAGTAAATCTCACCGTTTGTAGCACCGAATGCGCTCAAATGTGTTGTGGCCCGATTGATTGCAAACATGGCCCGGGCCAAGATTTGCCCAAGGTTCGTGTTTTCGATTTTTTTTTTAAAAAAAAATTAATTTAGTGTGTAATGATATATGCTCGATGATTTCAAGAAATTGGTAAAAAATTTTCAAAGATCTTTGTTTTGTTATTATGATTATTGAGATGATCGATACATTGTTTAAGAATTTATTGTGTGTTATGTTCTTAATATATAGGATGGCGCGATCAACGGTTGAGATGCATGCGATCGATGATTATATATGTTTATTTGCAAAGATTAAATAATGAATAATATTGTGATGTGATAAATTGTATATGGCTATCTAAATTTTATTTATGAGATTGTGGAAATAAAATTTGAACATTTTAGTATTGTCATATTATTTTTTTATTGTTCGATCGCACGTGCATATTAAAATGGATGCGGATGCAATGTCTTTCTTTTCTTTTTTTTAAGTTGTACTTTTCTTGATTATTGTATTATCGGTTTTTTCTTTTTTTTTTTGTATTAAGATTATTATTTTTTTTGGTATTAAGATGCTTATTATATTGTCTTTTTTCTATTTTTTTATTTTTTGTCAATATATATATATACACAATTTCTATCAATAACAAAAATATTCTTACACATTATTTAGTTTATACTTTTTAATATTAAATTTATTTACAAATATGTAATGATTATTCACACATTCAATTTTTCTAAATAATAATTCTTGCTTCAATAATTCACTTATTTACTTTCTAAAATAAACACATTTTATTTCACAATTAAATAATATAAAATTATATTCAACAAAATTTGTATACAATTCAATAAAAATAAATAAATTATGTCGACGGAATGAGTAGATAAAATTAAGATATTTGACTACAAAATCTTAATAGAATGTAGATATACTAATTGGTCTGAGTAAATTCGGAATTGACCCAGACTCACCTTATTATTTTGGGATCGGATTCAGATCTTATACACTCTACGGGATTCAGGGTCTAAAGGTGGATCCAACTCATATCTAAATCGAATCCAATTAATATATAATTACATATTTATTTGAAAAAATAAATAAATCTCAAACAATATATATTACAAAATAATAATAATAATAATAATGAAAGTTTAGAGCTTTACTCTTTTGAAACAACTGTATGTATTTGTTTCAATATCGTCACTTTCAATTTTTTATTACTATTATTTTTAACAATATAAGAAATTAACTTTTCAAAAGAAATTAATGTGTAACGTGTATAGATTCTCAAATAATTGAATGGAAAAACCAATTGATTGCATATGAATGTTATGATTATTTTTTATTTTCATGATTTAATAAAGTTTATTTA